AGAGAGAGAGAGAGAGAGAGAGAAGCATTCAAGCGATCCAGCGACAGCACACAGGGCGGGCGGGCCGACGGGCCACCGTTCCAACCCAGGGACAGCCTCTGACCACTCGGGAACCGCTGCAGACATTTTAGTTTCAGATGCACCACGGTCGTTTGCCTTTGGCCGGTGAAAACCTGCCCCCCGCCCCCCGGCCATACACACACACACACACACACACACACTTGGCCACAGGCTATAAAAGGGCTCTTCTGTGCGTGCACTTCTTGTGCAACTGGACGCCGGGCCAGTGGCCACCCCCTTCCCTGGGGATCTGGTTAAAAGCAGCCTGGGTTGGGCGGGAGCGGCCTCGATGTCACCCGCTGATGGACCCTCAGGTCGGAGCGGGGTTGGAGTGGCAGGAGGGCAGAAGTACATTGTTTTGAGGGACGCCAGGTCGTCTGTGGCTGGAGGGACTGTCAGGCCATGCCACCCCGCACAGCCAGCAGCGAGGGGGGCGACAGGAAGTCTAACCCGGGCTCTGGGTGTGGCTTTGTGGGCCCGGGGTACCATCCCCCACCTGCATCTGGTGGGTGGCAGGTTCCTGGGGGGCGGGGCGGGGAGAATGGAATGCAGAAAATGTGCACCGCCTGGGGACACTCTGGGCGCCTGGCTGGGCCCAGGACACGCGCCCCTGCTGGAGGRACTGGGGGCCAGCCGAGGTCTGGCAGATGGAGGCTCCCAAGCCCACGTCCTCCGCACTCKGCTCTGACCTCAGAAATGCGATGCCACCGAGGCCCGGAATGCACGCAGGCACGCACATGTTTTTGCTTGCAGAGTGCATTCAGGTAGACACAGCGGGGAACGTGCAGGTCCGAACCCTTCTGGGTGGCCGCCCGGTGGCTGTGATGGGACCTCGCCCACCCTGGGCTGGCCCGCATCCCTACCCCGGCCCCCATGCCCACCCCTTCCTATCAATAGCACCCGTGTGTTTTGCAACAAAGCCGCTTGCCTCTGGGCGGATCTTAAAAAGGGGAAAAAAAAAAATTCTTTGGAAACCACATCCCAGTAGTTGACAGACTAGAAAAAGCAAAATCCCCCGAAGCTGGGCATGAGCAGGATTGTTTTCTCTCGTGGTGAGGGAGCTCTGTCATGGCCAAGGAATGAGTCCCTCCCTGCCCCTAAGCTGATGGAACTGTGCTGGCAAAATAGTCCTAGGAACAGGTGTTGTGCACGCAGTCCAGTCCCCAAGGCCACTGGACACTTCTTACAGGGGATTAGGATAGTCGGTGTCTTTGCAGGTAATTGATAAACCAAGTTAAATGCATGTGCCAGTATGCGTATGTGTATCTGCACATAGATGATGTATGCAATACGTACTGTTTTATATATGTGCAAAATATATGCAGTATTTTAAAAAATTAAGAGTTGCTATATGCCGGGCGCGGTGCCACATGCCTGTCATCCCAGGGGCTTGGGAGGCTGAGGCCGGAGGATGTTGAGTTGGAGGCCAGCCTCAGCAACTTAGCGAGGCCCTGAGCAGCTCAGGGAGACCCTGTCTCTAAATCAGATATAAAAAGGGCTGGGGATGGGGCTCCGTGGTTAAGCACCCCCTGGGTTTAACCGCCAAGGTGAATTGAAATAAAAATTGAAATCTGCAAGTGTAAAAAGAATACAAGTTGGTTTGATTCTGGTTCCAAGGGAGACCTGAAAATATCACTTCTCCCTGTGTCTGTTGACTTTTCGTGAGTGATTCCAAAGAAAACCCTCTAGGATACCGTGGGTCGGTCGGTGGCCTGCAATTAGTAGGCGCCAAATGGACCCATCACCTAGAAATTCACGAGAGGTTTTATTTCAGGGACGCTGGGCAGGCTGCTGCGGGTGAGCCTCCCCAAACCAGGCGTTGATTTCTGTGCCCTTTGCTGGGTGCTCTAACTGGTTCTCATCCGGACCTAGGTAGACAGCTGCTAAGYGGATGGGAACTGTCAATCAAGAGGTCGCTGTGGGGACACAGGAAACTGCCACATTTGGAATTCATTTGGCTCACCCCTGAATCCAAACCTTTGAGGACCTCAAGAGCACCCCCAGGAAACTTTGTAACAACTTAGAGCACCTTGTGTCTAGGGGTCCAGGAGCAGCCCAGGGTCCACGCYTGTCATCCCAGCAGCTGGGGAGGCTGAGGCAGGAGGATCGTGAGGTCAAAGCCAGCCTCCGCCAAAGCGAGGCCTGAAGCAACTCAGGGAGACCCTGTCTCTCAATAAAATGCAAAATAGGGCTGGGGACGGGGCTCAGGGGTCAAGTGTCCCTGAGGTCAATCCCTCGTACCCCAAAGGAAAAAAAAAACCCAAAAGACATTTCAAGAAAAATAAAAATAAAATAATCATCTTGAAATGGGGGGTATCAAGCTTAACAGAAAGAAGAGGGCTATGTATTCTCTATACAAATGGAAGGGTCTTCTACATTTCCTAGAAATGGAACCACCGGAGATCCCCCAGAATAGGAAAAATGTCAAGAAAGTTGGTTGTTGGAATAGAAAGGAAGGATTGAAATGGGATCCAGCCGGGGGTCATTCCTATGTAAAGTTGATTTATAATAAATAACAGTGGCTGGGGATGTGGCTAGGTGGGAGATTTTCCGCAGGATGGAGCTCTCAGGTTCGAAGCCAGCGCCATCAAACAAATAAATGCATTTTAAAGCAACSCAGCGGAGGCCAAAAGTGGAACTCAGCCACCTTCGCTGCGCCCTCAGAACAAACCCTTATCACCTGCTTGGGGGCCCCCATGTGAATAATCCTTGGTGGGATCCCCAGGATGGCCCAGTTGAGGTTCTCCGGATTCTCCTCGGAGCGATTTATTTTTTCAAAGTCAAATTTGCAGAATGCAGAGGAGAAGAAATAAAAATGCGTGGGCAAAGTGACCCCATTTTTCAAGGYAGTTTTGACTATAAAGGAAACAGACCTTTTGCATCTAAAGACAAGGTGCATGCACACTGCCCTGCTTCAGACTCTGCACCAGGGTCTCCAAAATGGGAAGCTTCCGGTTGCATTTTGACACGCACACAGGGACGTGTGCAAACCTCTCCCCACCGCCCCCCAATACTTAGGAGAATGGCCCCCGTCTGCCCTGCGGGTGGAGAATGCCTACATTTTTTCATTTCATTCCCGTTTAGATTTTTATTCTCATTTTTTTTGTTTTCCTGGCAGCGGGTCAACTTTTATTGAAACCCAGAGACACTTCCGAACAGGCTCGAACTAGTGGAGGGTATTGGGATGGAACCCAGGGGCATCGACCCCTGAGCCCCGTCCCCAGCCCTATTTTGCATTTTATTGAGAGAGAGGGTCTCCCTGAGCTGCTTAGGGCCTCCCTTTGGTGGAGGCTGGCTTGGAACTCGCCATCCTCCTGCCTCAGCCTCCCCAGCCACTGGGATGACAGGCGTGTGTCACTGCTGTGCCTGGCTCTTAATGTCTAAAGTGGGGATCAAACAGTTTTTAGGGACCCCCCCCAGCAAGCTCACTTGCCAGCCCCGCCCCCCGGGGGAGCCRGTCTGCAGCGTGGACCAGGCCGAGGTGACCAAAGAGGAAACCCGGTTTGCCTGGGAGCCAGGGAGACGAGATAAATAAAAACCCCATAAGCACCGTGACCTTGGAGATGAACTTGGGCGACTCCGTGRAGGATGACTCAGCGCCCTCGCATCTCCAGCAGGGGGTGGGGTTTGGAGGCAGTCGGGAGGGAGGGCTGGGGAGGAGAAGTTGGATTTGATCAGTGCACCTCCTGTGCGTGTGTACAGTTACCACACCGAACCGCATCCACTCTGTACAACGAATACCTGTTAATCAAAAATATAAAAAAGATAAAAATAATGTTGGAGAGAACGCAGCCGATGACAGATGTTGTTCAGACAACTGCCTAGTGATTAATTGAAAAAAAAAAAAAAAGGTTGTAAGCTACTTCCTTCTTGGCTACTGGTACTAAAATAAACTCCTGATGTGTCAAAATCTGTGTTGGAGGTCAGGCCCCGAGACACACGTCTGTAATCTCAGAGGTTCAAGAGGCTGAGGGAGGAGGATGGCAAATTGAAAACCAGCCTCAGCAACTTAGTGAGGCCTAAGCAACCTGGTAAGACCCTGCCTC